TCTTAGCGACATCGATCAACCACGAAGTGTTTGACCTCATCTGTAAAACGAACTTCACGAAAGAACAGATGCTTTTTTGTGAGGCAAACACCCATAACACAGAGCAGTGCAACTGTCTGATTTCTCAGAAGTAAAAAAAAGATATACTAAATGCGGGTCAATGTTTCCTCTGTACTTTGCAGCATCATTTGGCAAAGAATTGCAGAACGAACGTTACATGTACAAAGTGCCATCGATGCCATGCTAAAACAATGTGCGACCCGCGGTTGCTGAATTCGATTAAAAGTCTTCAAGCGTCAACAGTGCCGGGGCAGCGAGAAATGATTGAAACTGGCAGCTTTAGATGGCATGTCTTCCTTCAAACAGCTAATGCTTGGGCAGCCGGACAAGGAAAGAAACGCCTAGTTCGAGTTTTCGACGGAGGCAGTCAGCGCAGATTGGTGACGAAGCGATTGGCAGAGGAATTGCGTCATCGAGTACTTTACCACAAGAGCTTTGCCGTAGAATACTTCCGAGGGCAACATGATGAGAGAACTTTCCAGCGCATGCTCGTCACTCTAAGTTCACAGCGTAGTGGAACGCCACAACTGATTGAAGCTCTCGTCACGTACAAACATCTGTCACCGGTCTAATCCATGGCCGCATAAAGACTTCATCGAAAAGCTGGAACAGCAGGGCTATTACTTCTTTGATATAATTCAAGCTGTAAGCCCAAATGTGATCTATGTCTTAATCGGCAGTGACTATTACTAGTCGTTTGTCCCTGGAAATATGCAGAATTCGGACAACAGACTCAAAGGCACTGAGATCAACCTTTGATGGATGCTACATGAACCTGCAACCTTTTGCGCTGACTGCCACGTATTGCAACGAGGTCATCGTACTCAAAGCGTTCAGTGACCAACCATAGGATCACAAAAGAGAACCTATGGGGACTTAGAAGTCGTGAGAATCAGACGCAGAAGCAGTTTCAGTCAAAGATGCGTCCAAGTTTTGATTAGAAGTGAATGAGACACCGTGTGCCTACATCTTCGAATCATCTACGCTTTTTTGACACACAGTCTATGCGGCCTCCAGAGTTTCACGTCGGAAAACTAAAAGTATTGACAGCCTTGACAATGGTACGGCCTCCTGACCCAACGTATTGTCATCAAATCGGAGGAACGCTGCCAAATTTTCACAGCGAAGAACCAGAAAGAAACGGCAACAAACCTTCACACCACAAGCAACATCTCGTCTAGACGACACTCTCGGCCTGTTGAATTTTTTCACAGTGAAGATGAAGAACCATGGAGATCAAGAGGTACGAGTCTAAGTAAAGCATGGGGTCATGGATCCTTCCTTGACCAGTGGGCAGGACACAAATGGCTTGCTCCTGAAGACCTAGAATGGCCACAATACTCTACCAACCGCATCACAGCTTGGCTACAACATGCCTCCAAGCGCAAGCAAAAGAATGCGTTTAAGGGCACCTTCAATGCAAAAGAAATGAAAGCTGGCGCAGCATGCCTTCCTGAGAACATTGATTCATAATTCAACAGATGCCTTTTGGAAATGAGAACAACACAAAGTCAAAACCCAGTGCACCGTTTACACTGGTTAAGAGCGCCACAGAAACTACCGATTTTTCGGATAGTGGAACTCCGCAGACTATCGGGTAGAGCTACTGTGAAACTGGCCTTTCAGCATCTGTACCTACTGGAATCGAACTTTTTGCAAAATTCTGCATGCGGGGCAGTTCATTGGAAGAAAATAGACGAAGAAGACGACAATCCTGTGCTGGCCTTGAAATCACGTGCTGCAGCAGCAACCCACGAAGTTGGGCTGCAGTTTTTTCTAAATAAACCCCTTTTTCTACTCAACAGGAAGGTCGATTTTCCTCACATGCCACAATCTTTCCAGATTCGTAAGTCGCCCTAGAGAAAATAGAGGCACTCCTTTCAATTTCAACTGCGTGTTGACCTCTTAACTTTTAAATTCAACCTAAAATAAAATGAGTTGGCCCGAAATCATGTAATACTTTATCTATTCTGCTTGGTACTGCCATGTTTGTTGAATAACTACTGCATCCTGTTAACCTTTACCTTCTCTAATGATTCTGAGTAATTGATATGGTAATGTCTGCCCTTTTTTAACACTTCATATCTCATCTTTTCATTTTATCATTTAGATATCACAGCGTTTGAAACCGTATTGTAGGTAGTAGAAGAGTGTCAGGCTGGCTGACATGTTCTACTCCCACTATCTTTCATGAACAATGCATGAAAATAAATATTTTACTTCATTTTCATTCATTATTATAAATAGAATGCATTCTAGACCCATAATACATTGTAAGTTGAAAGGGTTCCAAGAAGATGCGGTTCAAATTGAATCGTGTTCCAAGTAATCACACTTGAGCCATTTCGAATATAGTTAAACCTGCTTATAACAAACCTTCATATAACAAATTCCTCGATATAACGAAGTTTTTCTACTACCCACTGTTGCTCCGTAGAAGCACATGTATTTGCGACCTTCATATAACGAATTTTCCCCACGAACAATCTAGGGATTTTACTCCGCATTTGGTTCGAGCATGCATTTTTGGCAACTGCCCCGCCGCCGACAAAGCGCGAAGCGGCGGCGGCGCGCACGGCGCACCAGGTGACAGCAATCGCTCGTTATGGGGCACGGGTGGGTGAGCTCGAGGCGGGCCTGCACTCCACGAGCCGGCGTGCACGGTTGTGTGCCCCCCCCCCCCCTTCCTCCCAACAAAAAAAAAAGAAAACTACTCTTGCGCATTGGCAGTGCCACGCTTATATACTCGATGACAACTTTTCTTGGCATTGGAGCAAAGACTACAGAGCCAAATCACAAACATCCTATCGCCAGTGAATGTAGTTCCACAACAGCTCCCATATTTTCACCGTGAGATATAGCAGTTCCCCCTTTATTTTCTACGTGAAGGAATTTCAGACAGGACGCAGCTCCCACCATTAAGATAGTCGTACGTATTTACTTTATTTATTCGTTGTGACTTCGCATTTTTGAACGCACGAGAAAGTCCCGCTTTTTTACGTGCATCTCTAACGCTAAGCAACATCTGCGACTACATGAAACGCTGATTGTGCTCCTCCATCATTTTCCATAGTGTAACGAGACGCGTGCCAAAACAGACGACTTCGCATAGTGTTACATGTGCAAAAGCTCCGCCACCGTAGCTTTTCCTTCAGTGCCAAGAAAAGTAGTCGCCGAGTATAGTTAACGTCACATATGCAGGGCCGCGCTGCACATGGAGGGCGCTTTACCGAATAGTTTTCCGCGGTGTCCGTCTCTTCGCTCTTCATTTTAAATGCCGTGCGTGCGTGCACTGTTTCACTGCACGCGCATGGTGCAGCCTCTGATGACGTTAAGCTTTGCTTTTTTTTTATTATTGCAATTATATGGACAGTCTCGGCTAGTTTTTTGCCATCGCCGCCACCATTCACATATATATGAAAACTCAAGAAAGAAAACAGAAGTCCACCCGCACATGGCGCCCAGTTTGCCTCGATGCGCTGACGGACGCTTATCTCCCCGTGAAAGGAAGGGGGGGTTAGGCACTTGTGCGAGCGTGCTAATCCTTCGGTGAAGACAATCGCGTGCCTACGACCGGGACAATTGCGCTTAGTTGCCAGACACACAAAGATGACTTCACTTGTAGGACAGGCGCCGTTTGCAAAAAGAGTGCACTTTTCAAACATTGCAATGTAACAAGTGGGGCACATTGTTGGTTCGCACTCACATCTGTACCTGTGACTACGTTTCGTGCCGCGTTTTTGTTTAAACCGCGCGTTAAGTGTTGAGCAGTAAATGTTGTTAATTCGCTCTCGTCCTGTGTATGTTGTTTTCGTGCGTCATTTGTGCGTGAGCAGCATATTGCCCGTTTCGATTTGCTTGCTGTTCTCAGCGTTAATTCCAAGTTGTTACTCTCGCATTGCTTTGCCCTTGCGATGAAACTGTGACTTTTCTTAATTTCGGACAACTGTGTCGTCACCACCGAGGGGATGTCAGATTAGGCGTTGATGGAAACTCTCCGAGACAACGGTGAGAATAGATATTCAGAGGTTGACTCGTCACGCGCTTCGGTCTTGCGCCGCGTCGGGAGTTCGCAGGCTGGTAGCTTTCGCGATTAGCCGATTAGTTCTGGCAACAACATGACGGCGTGTTGAATGGAATGCAATCAGCGCGATAGCAAAAAATTAGAATGTTATAAGAACTAAGGCTGGCGGCCAACTCTTTTGGATCCAATATCGCAGAACTCCTACAAAACGCTGGTGTGAACAAATACGACCACTCCAAGGAGAAGCGCTCTTTTGACACAGTCCTTTCGTGTTGAAACCGCACTGATACTCGTCGAGATAGCAAGAATGCCAGCGATCGCGATCGCCCTAAAATCCAAGTTCATTATTACTACTCGAGCAATTATACTCCCCCCTCCCCACCTTGTTTCATTCTCATTCAAGAAGGGTGGTTTACTTTCTGTTTGAGCGTTCAGTGGCAGTCCTAACACGCGTGAGATGTTATCTTATGCACTTTCCAAGCGATAGGAATGGGCAGATTCATTTAATCTCTGCCTCCACAGCGCTCGCGCAGCTTTTACTCGCTCGTGAAAGTTACGATGCACGAGAAATGTTATCAATTTGGACTTGTTACGAAACATGGCTGCGACAGCAAAAACCCGCGGAAAGCGTCCATATAATTGGTATTGCAATAATAACGCAGTCTTTTATTGTAAAATGAGTGTCTTGGATTAGCTCTGCTTTCAGATCACCTTTTCCTTAATTTGCGCGTTTATTTTCCAAGTTTTCGTGCTCAACTGCTTATAGCAAAATCCTCTTTATAAAGAATTTTTCTGGGAATTTATGAGTTTCGTTATATCCAGGTTTAACTGTATAGCCACATAAGAGCCACAGTGGTTCGACCGGAATTGCTCTCACTACTGTCATAGTGCAGGGCATAAAGAAATGCACACATACCTCTATGCTGAAGGCATGGCGTGATTGCTGCTCCTTCCATTGTATCAAGTGCAAGAACATGGCCGCGTACAATGGGTAGCAGCTCTTTCAGAGTTTTCTAAAAAAACAAAGCAAACTTGTTCAGAAAAAAATAATTTCTTTCTTTTTTGCACCCGAACAGCAACACAGCCCGCATGTTTCTTTCACATAACCTAATCTCACCTAGCCTTACATGTGGGGTGGAAAAAGAAAACAAGTCCCACTCAAGCATTTTTTTTTTTCATAGTGTTAGCCCTTTGAGGCACTTTGTACATAGTTTTGCAGACTTGTTTTTAATAGTGAAGCTGCTAAAGCTGGCCAGTAAGAGGTCTGTTAACAAAATAACCCTCTGCGCCACTGCCAAAGCAAGTGCTGCAGTTTCTGACACGGTGGCTCAGCGACCGTGATTCAACACATTCCGAGTGGTGAGCTTCGAGCATTTTCCGTATCCACCCACCATTGTGTCTTCACTGCCGTTTATTCAGCCAAGCATACCAGGTCTAATCACTGTCGACTCTGCAGTTCCTTTACTGCAGCACGATGAGCCAAGAACCGACCAGTTTTGACGCGCCAAGCTTTGCATAATTTAGTCCGAAGTTCCTGCATTATTTTACAGTTAAGTCAACTAGTGGCAAAGAACAAGCGAGATACATTGCAGTTTAGGTGAACTGAACCTCCTGCGTAACAAATGTATCTTAACGGGGCCATAACACCGAATTTTTCAGCATTATTGTGTTGTGTGGGTTGATCCGTGTATGTTCACAAAAGAGCTGGCAAAATTTAAGTCAACAGAATATTTTTATGAACGAGCCAGTGGCCTTCGAGTGGAGCAACACTGGCATGCTCGCTAGCCGTGACATAAAGAGCCGCTTGCTGGGTGAGCTGCTGCGCGGTCTGCATTTTGAAGCAGGATCCCGTTGCATGGTCGGCTGCCCTTGCAACTGAGCTTTTTCTGCGTTGTTCAACTTGCCACTAGAACTCAATGACTTGCAGTGGTTGAAACAATGCAAGTGCATCGCCCATGTGCCGCTGCTACTTGAAAAAAACAATTTTCGTCATCGGTCTGACGTCAAAAAGTGTCCTATAAATGTGCTACGTGTATGCGATTTGACACTCCGAATGAACATTTATTGAAACTCCTTGGAGGCAGTGCCATGGTTAAGCATCTCGCATGCTAGCTCACAGTGAAAGCTGTTACGAGATCACAACTCAGGTCATGCGCAGTTGTCCGCCGCTGCCGTTGCCGGTGTCCGTAACCACATTGCGCGAAATTAGAATAAAGAACTAGCACTAATGACATAATGGGGCTCGGAAATGGGTCCACTGGGTGCCAGCCCAGCATTCTACCAGTGAGCCACACCAGTGCTTGGGACATGTTGGCAAACTTGCCTTAGCCAGGCTTGATGTCGGGAAAGCAATCACTTCATTACAAAAAAGCCCTTTAAAACAGCAAAAGAAAAACCAGTCATCACACAATACTAATAGCATAATGAGTGGGTCCTCCGATGCTCCAACTTATTACAAAAGCTTGTTCTTGTTCCCCTATTAACTGTGACGCATACCCATTTCAGCCATGATTCCTCATCGTCCTCAGCCACTGCTTGAACACTAGGCGCAAAATTCCTTGCAAGCCTTTAATGCATACCACACTTCTCAGAAGAATGACGAAAAATAGTATAGCGAATTCCAGACTCCTACACAAAAATCTTATAATTAATGTGGTAGTGGTTATCAAGCAAGCGTGCTAGCAGCAGTTATCTAATGAGTGTGTAGAAAAGACTCTAAAAGGCCGCTCTACTAGCTTTCACTGTGATTGTGGTGCGCCTTTTACACAGGTCTGGCGGTTTTTTGTTTTTTTTTTACCGGTAATGAATGCAGTCGACAGAGTTTAAGCGAAGATTTGGCCAAAATGCATATCGTGACTAACCCTAGCATACCGTTCTGACATACCGTTCGCTTCACCTAGTGTTTACATACGCCTCACTTACCAACCGATAGAAAAACAACAGTTCCAAACCGCAGCATTGCCACGACCACTTTCCGTGTTTATTCGAATCTAGACCGACTGCTTTTTTTTTTTTTAATGTTTTCTGCTATTACAGGCTCGGTTTAGATATGAGGATCTTGAAAAACATAACTAGCGCCAGCCACGTAAGAGTGTAAAATTCAAGCAAAAAACCAGTCATACTGCGGACATTTGTTCCATGTAACCAGCAATTTTGTTTAGTTGAGAGACTTCCGTTTAGTGAGAGTCTACTGTAGTAGCAAGATAATGGTTTTATATCTGTACTACTCACTACATCACAGACTTACTATACGACTATAGCTGAAAACTAATTATGTGAATAGCATATAGCTTACCTTGAGCAAAGCGCCATCAGGATTCAGCTGCCGGAAGCAGTCTGACCCCGTGGAACTGACGAGGCCTTCCCAGAGGCCAATAGACACAGAAAATGGGACCTGTAGGTGGCAGTAGAAAGTTTGGACACCCAGACAATGCACAGATAGTGGAGACGTACGAATATTCGAGCACTTCGACTGTTTGAACAAATATTACAGTATTCCGATTCACTTCAACACAATCTTAAATTACTCGAAACTTCAAGTATTTGGAATGAACAAATAGGCGTATGTTTACCGCATTAACTCTCTTGCAAAGGTGGTTTCACTGCTATGTACGAGTTATACGTTGTGAAAACATCTTTAACCAGAAAAACCGCACTGCCATGAAACTATTTCATGGCTAACAGGTGGCTAACAGGTTTTTACGCTCTGAGTAGGGAAATTTTTGACATAAAACATATTTTACTGGTTACCACGTAACTTTACTGAAATTCAAATCCCACTAACAGGCGAAGTTGCTCCCACTTCACTTTCAACCAGAAATAGAAAGACGCACATGCACTGTCCCAAATAAAAAAAAAAAACATTGTGCAAGTCAGTTGGCTCACGAAAAATACTCATTTTTCTCTGCAATACATGTTATATACTATCCGAATTCAAACAGAAAGTATTTAACCAGATAAATATTTCCTTCGAACCTAAATTTACTATTTGGGCATGCCTAAGAAAAACCCAGCTCGGCGAAATTTTTGTGGCAAACACGCGTTTCGGTGGTTACGGGACGTGTGTGCTGTTGTAGAGCATTCCACGACATGCACACGAGAGCTAGGTAGAAAGTGAAAGATGCCGTGCCAACGTAACCTCAAAACAATGTTCTGGGGGCGGCCACCACCTCCAACGAAGCGCGCCGCGTACGCTTGACATGGACAACTCTAATGGAGTCATTGGGTAGATTTTTTCAGGCGTGCTTCCAATAGGAGTACTTTTGTTTGCTGTTTTCTCAAAACCACAAAACTCGACGACAACAAGCTATCTCTGGTAGCAAATCGCCATCATCACAGTTCTTGTCTTACCTTGAGAGTTTAAATCCACAAAATGATTATTTCAAAGTCCCCAAATGTCTTACAAAATCTCTTTCAATGTTTCTTTTCTAGAAGCTACAACAAATGCTTTCTCTTGTGTTTGCAATTTTTTCATCTGGTAAAAAATTTATAAAAGCACTATTTTTGCTAATATGCACTCACTGTAGAGTTCACCATCATTTTGATATGTCAATGTTCACTCTGCAGAAATGCTAAGCGCATATTTAAAATTAGCAAGCTTAAGGACATAAACACAGCAAGTTTGCACGAAAATTCAATAAAACTTATTTTAAAACTTGAAAGCACCCGGTGCTCTGAATGTCATTCAGAAAAAAAGGTCTAACATCAGCTTTGCGAATAGAGGACTCGGTATAAGTTACCATGTTTCTGTGAATAATAAAAGTACTGCTTTCTTTCAAATGTTTCTTGTGATATCGTCACCTTGCGCACTCCAGCCATGAAGTCCAACGCCGTTCCGTTGAGCTGCCTGTTCAACAGGTGCTTTGCCTGTCCGTAGATGAATTTCGGCTTGACGGCCAATGCAACTTCTTTGGCGAATGCTGTCATCGCTTCCAAGTTGGCTGGCTTGTGGTCAAACACGCCCGGCTGCACCCCTGCAAATTATACACAACCTCTGTACACAACCTTGAGCATGCAGTTTTGTCAATTACGGGTTCGCAAATAGCAATGACTACAATGTGCAATTATGTCTCCTAATGAATCACTTACGTGACGACATGTGAAGCATACAGTCTATATATATATATATACACACACATGCATATGTCTGCCTTTTACATTTGCTTGCCCCATGCTTCTGATCATAGTATACTACTCACACTTGTATTCAGTTGTAATGCTTAGCATTGAATGTTCATATGCCTAGTAATCTTAATACCCTGATGTTACTTTATTTGTTCTTCTTTATAGTTTATTTTATGTACCCACTTTTCTCTGTAAAGCTATGTATGATTGAGGGTGAATTAAATTAAATGAAATGACGTTCCCTGTGAAATGTGGCACAGTACGTTTTAGTTCCGTTTGCACAATTGCGCATGATATATTTGCTGGACAATACGCTTTTCTTTTTGAGAAACGAACAGTACACATAAACGTTATCCTACTTGATTTTATATTGTTAACTTTATTTATTTTATTTTCCTCACTCATATCCTATTGGATATTACATTGTCACTATTCATAGCCGGGAAGGCCACAGAAGGAAAACGAAGCGAGCAGCACGAGCAGCTTCTGAGGAAGACGACATTGGCGCATCTGCTCTTGTGCATCTATACAGCTTTGCCATTTTCATCGCACTGAAACTTGTGTCTGGTTTCTATGTTGCTACAATATCTTTACAAATGACTGATATGATCACATTTTCTACATGACACTGCAAAATGCAATCTTAAAAGTGGGCTTTCACTGGTATTTACAAAAGTCAAAGCATTCATATTTCTGCCTTCATATTTCTACCATTCTTGACGAGTATAGATTGTCTGCTCGAGATACCTCCCCGTGGGTCTCTTGAACAAGACTCGTTCGTTTCCAAGCTAGTTTGTCTGCTTGTTCACACACAGCCCTTGCTTTGAAATTTCTTTTATTTTACCCACCATTAGCAATTTCTATTCGCAAATTTTGTTTAGAAAATATTGTCCAGTGAAGGCGACGAGTGGATTACTTGTACATTGTCGTTAAAAAGACATTTCATCATTGGAAAACTCTTCAGGTGCTAATTATTCAAATATAAAAGTTTACTTTGAGGAGTTGACATGTTATATTCGCCAGTTTCTCGACCACGACAACATTTTATGAATCCTAAAACATTCTAACAAGATAAGAACAATAAACTTTGCTTTGCTGATTTGACTCAATACGCTTTAATATCTTTTCATGATTCAAAATGTGCTTTTTAGAAGAAATATATTTGATATGAGTTTTTAGAAAAATAACCTTTTCAAATAAAAAACTAAATAAAATGAAACAGTTAAAGGCATAAATAACACTCGAAAAAGCCATAAGCAATATGTTACAGGACAAAAGCCCTAAAGACTCTGCAGCAGCAGCAACGGCGGCATTAAAAATCAGTAACCAGAGAACTCAAAACCACACGAGGCTTTGGTATCACATTTGTCCCCGCACAGGCTTGCTTTGATGCCTTTTGGATCTTGCAATGGACAGTACAACTTTCAGATGTTGCATTTTATTGGATCGTTTCCTTAAATAGTACATGAATGAGAAATCACTGTAGTAATAAGATCTAGAACTTTAACTGCCGAAACCATACAATATGATTATGAGGATTACCATAGAGGAGGGCTCCCGAAGTGTCGGCCATTGGGTGTTCTTTAATGTTTGCCAACATAGCACAGTACGTAGACATTGAGCCTTTCATTGCCATCGAAATGTGACTGTCACAGTTGGTACTGAACGTCCTACCTTCCGCTCAAAAGCTATGCACTGTAACTACTGTATCGCCATGGCGGACCAAATCGTGCATCGGTAATTGCTCTCCACTTAAACAGTTTGAGGTGACTGAGTTTCAACTAGCTACTCAGCGTAACTATCTTATTTGCCCGTGTTCAATGAGTGCAGCAAAAGCTCGTTAATTCAAACTTCATCAGACAAGAAAAATGTTTGAACTGAATTCCAAAATTCTCGAGTATTAAGAAAGCAACCAACATATGTCTACACTAATGCGTTTTCATTGACTTGATGAATAGGTAAATCTTGTACTTAATTTGCATACCAGCAGCGTAAAAGCCACATTTTTTACCATCCTAGACCTCTTTTCACAATTTAACTGCAGTGCCAGACCCCCATGTTGTAACTAGCACGAAACAGGCTCTGCACTATCCTCTAATTGCTGCCACCATCACCAACACCACAAGCATGTGACATTTTTTTTTTTTTTTTGCAGTTAATCGAAAGAAATTTGTTACAGCCACTCAAGCTGTAGTCGCCAACAATGTGATTATAGACAGTGACGATGCGTTTTCGAACACCAACGGTTAACGAGGTCTCACATGCAGAGAGACAAGCAGACAGACATGAAGCATCCTGGCTTTCCAAATGTTACCATGCAGTTCAAAATGGTGACTTTGGAGGTGTGCACCGCACCGCCATGTTTGCGTTGTCTGTGAACATAGTTTTCGAGCTTCTGCCCCGCAAATTCGCAGCGCGAAGCGCTAGGCATTGTCTGAATTAACAGAATTGGGACCAATTGAGACCGAATTATTGAGTGTGTCATTAAAATGACAGTTCGAGGGTCAATCTCTTGCCTGAAATGCATTAAAAATGGGTTTTTTTAGTCGTTGAATCAAATACTTTAAACGAGTCAACTTATAAAAAAAAATTGCGTAAAGTTTTTTCTGCCAATTGCAAAGAGACAAAAAAATTATTTGTGATTTTGCTTACATGGTTTATTTGTGAGGAACAGCAACATCAATTCTAATAAACACCTGTACAACTGTTAAAAAGTTATACATTGAAATAAACATCCTTGTGATTCACAGACTTATAAAAATAAGTGCACGAAGTGGGGTCTAGTGAAAACATGGAGGGAGAAAAGCCAGTTTGGATCCAGTCAGCATCGTTGCGTCGCACACACTTTCAAGATCTTGCTCACGCATCGACATCTCAGTCTTAACTCATACAAGAATATTGAAAACAGGGTGTGGGTGCTGGAGCCGAGGTTTTAACAAATGTGTCGTAGCGGCGCCCGCCGCTATCAGTCGGTGATCGGTGAAAGAAAGGAGGTGACGGCAGTCCAGGCGATAGGCAAGCAAGAAAAGCCCCGCCGTTTATTTTGCAGCGGTATAAGTAGCAACTGTGACGTCAGTACCACGTGTTTCCATACATGGGCCAAGCACAGTGAATCGGCGCCTCATGTAGGAGCGCGCTTTCAGCACACGGGAAACACATTCCAGCACATCCCCCCTTTTGCAAAATAACAGTGGTTTTGCACGTGGAATTCAGAACATTCACACATGAACAAAACCCAGAACCCTTAGTGGTAACGAACCACGAACAAAAGCTTATTCATCAATACCGAAGCGAACCTGTCGCTTAACCACTTTGCCAGACCTGGTCACAGTCACGGAAGCAGAAGGTACTGACGTGAAAATCACAGCCTCAGAATCTGTAGGCACTGAAGCTGACGTTGAGGCGGTGGGTGGCGCCCTTTCCGTCGATACCAAGTCGGCTGACTCGCTTTCGTTTGGGAACTCATAGCTGCCTTCACGCTTCCCCTGTAGTGGCATGCGGTTCAACATTCGTCCGTTACGCCGCAGCGTAACCCCATCCTCGGTTCGCATTATGTAGGAACGGGGACCAGCGGCTCTCGCTAGCGCAGTTCCTCTGGGTTTCATATCCGTTACCCAAACAGAATCACCCGGTGTTAGTTAATTTCTACACTGCGAACGGCAACATCAAAACACCGGACGATGTCTCTAGAGGCGTCATCAGTGGCTTGATACCCGGTACGAGCACCACAGAACTCATGGCTCGAATTCGCGCGCTTGCAAGATACACAGTTTTTCACGCCCGAATGCTAGGTCAATCGACCCCGGCAGTCGTCTTCTTTGAAGGACCGCACGTTCCCTACTACATAATTTTCCAGAGTGTAGACTGACTAGTGAGAGTAGTGTAGACTAGTGAGAGTATTGCCGAGCTTGTGGCAATACGGGTCACCGCCAAGACGTCTGTCCGAAACCTATCCCGGATTTCTGCTATAAATGCGGCAAGGCCGGACAAACGCAGGGACATGAATGTGCACCCATCTGCAAGATCTGCGGGGAAGGACACGAAACAGCAAGTAAGGAATGCAAAAGGAGACTAAAGCCAAGTCCACCATCATTCAACATAAGACAACAGCGCCTTAACAGGCTTCAAGAAATAGACAACAACTGGAACGCCAGCGGAGAAGAGTTCCCTGAGGTTAGCATATCGGCCGCTACCTCTAACAGTAACAATGAGGGCCGCGTCTCCACGCGCCGCAGTTCCAAGTCAATATTGCGTTCGAGTTCGCGCTCCCGCTCTCGCACGCGTTCCGTCTCTACACGCAGCAGATCCGAATCAATACTGCGTTCCAGTTCGCGCTCCCACTCTCGCGTGCGCTCGCGTTCCGTTAAATGTGCAAGCTACGCTACCATGGCAAGTGGATCTAACGACAGCAGCAGCTTAACCTCCTCGAAGTCGGACATCTCATCCGTACAGGTTCTCGAAGATAGACTGTAAAACCAGCAAGGAAAGCTCCAGAATCAGCACAGCCAACTACAGAGCCAACAAAACCTCATAATTAAACTGCTTCAGAGTCAGAAACGACAACAAGAGCTCATTGACAAACTACTTGAAAAGTGCACGCATCAGCAAGGACATTCGGACAATGCAGAACAACAATATCAAGAACAAGCAAACTCAAGCACAGAGCCGGCAACGACGCTGACCAAAGTAGGCGTCCAAGCCCTAGTGAATGCAAGGTGCACAATATTCAAAGACTCTTTCATGAATAACATGCACACCACGATCGTAATAATGGGAGACTTTAACGCCTCACACGGCATGAGGCTATCGTATCACCACGAGGAAGGGTTCTGGTGTATGATACTGCACA